AGCGGTTTAAATTAAATAAAGAAATTCGTATTTTATAATTTTGCATGCTTGACGTAGAAATGTAATAATAATTTTATTCAGATGCACACCGATTATTCTTTAGCGTGTATGAATGGCATTCTAATTTTATAAGACTTACGAGAAAGTTGAATTTATTAATAAACAAAATAAAGGATTGAATTCTTTTTGTAAAAGTGTCTATTCCCCGCCAACTTTAAAATAAAGTAAGTCGTAAACGAGAAAGTTTCTATGGATAATATTTTGAAAAAATCGAAGTTTTTTAGATGCTTCAAATATGACTTTAGATCAATTTATTTATTTTCATGATTATTTAATTATAATTAGAAAACACGTTTTACGTTAAAACTCCATTTTCAGCACATTTCAGAAGCATTTCTCAGCGGATTTTATTTTCAAATGTTTCATAAATGCTTTTTATTCCAAAAGTAAAAGAGAGTTGCACTTTTCTTCTTAGATTGCAACTCACGAGAATTTCTGCTACAGGTCAGCTTTCTTCGTATTCGCTCGAAGTCATCCGACGTCTTTGTCCTGCGCTTTTTTAAATGAGTTTCTCGGTCTTTGGCTAGACAATCTCGGTAACTTCAATGAGATACAGATACTACAGTATACTGTACAGATACCACAAGATGAAGGGTACCTATCAAATGTGACTACTATGGATCTGCCCCATAGGTGAATTTCGAGGGATTTTATTTTACTGTAATTCGTTGTTAGTTCTGTACAAAAGCTCGTGTTCATAGACGAATTATTGATCGAAATTTATTATTTTTACTGATACATTGACTCAGATGTTATGCGACGACTTATCCTCAATTAAGTCTATTATTCAGAGCGAGACCAAAACAAATCAGCCGATACGTTCGTCGTCTTTTACCAGATTTAGCTCAAACAGAATGTGCTCTCAAAACAGAAATACAATAGCCATCATTAGCTGAATTAGATCAACAATTGTGCAGATATCTAGCAATTGGTTGTTTTGTTCGATAGATCAATGACACTTATCACCGTATCCAAACATCAGATTAAAAATCTTTGGGTTCTTAAATAATAGTTTTCTCTGTTTCAAACTATTCTTCTTTCCATATCTAAAACTTACCATTCCAAAAAAATCTGAAAAACTAGAAAAACGAAAGTTCATTCATTTCTTTCATACATTATTTGGTCAAAAAATATCAAACTCATTGTCACACCTTTACTTGCAAAAAAGGTTTGTATTATTATATCTAAAGAGAACAAAAAAAAGATAGATAGAAAACAGTGACATAGTAGCATTGAATAGAACATTTTTAAATGGATATCTAATAGATATCGCATTTTTACAAGAAGCAAATTTTGAATGATCCGGCGTAAATGTTTAATGAAGATGGAATTTTTAATTTTGTATTCAGTCCAAAAGTTTTCTTAAAAAGAAATTATACCACAGAGGTATCCATATAGGGAACATAATCGGGACTATATCGTTTATTTTTACTTTTTATGCAATAAAATATATTTCGGCCAAAACTACAGAAAATAGGCGTTTACAAGCAATCATTGTCTAAAAGGATCATGAACAGATCTAATAAATATTTGAATTTTCCATAAATAGATCGAACAAGATAATTTAAATATATTGTTCGTACCAAATGGTGTTCTAAGTATACAAGGGCAATCTCCAGTGGAATTAGCACGTTTCATTTGAATGTCATTAATTTCTATCGGTACTAAAAAAAGATAAATCCACAGTTATTACAAAATATCGAGGATGATTGTTGCTGACATATACTATAGTGTTCGCATTTACAGCAATCGGCGAAAGGGCTTTGTAAACGTCTATTAACCATCGAGATATTTACAGTAAAATAAGTAACATAGATATATTTATTGAATTTTAAATATTGATCTTAATTTGAAACCTAGAAAACAGATTTTCATTAAACTAAAAAAACATAGTTAATTGTTGTTAGTTATAATTGTTGCTATGGTCAATCCAAATTAATTTTATTATACGTCGGTCTAAGAACTTATAAGGTTTACAAAGGATTCAATAAAGTGAAAGAAACCACAGAGGAATCATCTAAAAAGAAGATGCGATGCAATAACATAAATCGAACTGATTCATACGAAGAATTCATAATAGAAGAAAATGAAGAAGAACAGTCTAAAAGAAAGAGAAGAATGAATTTTGAACGTGCTGGATGTGGATTTGGGTATATTCAACCGTTGTGTGCAAGCACTCATATGAGAACATCAAATGAGAAACGTATAGTTCTACAAGGTGATCGTGATATCATAATCAAACGATTAACAGACGACAGTAGACGGATTGTTCCATACAATGCAAGTCTTTTAAGAACATTTCATTGCAATCTTGATGTTCAAGTAAGTAAACTATGAGTCTCAACGATCTATATATTTTGATAATGGAAACAGAAGTAAGAGTTTAACATTTAAACCCAAACTACTATCCATTAAATGTAAACTTAACCGGTTATTGACCATAATCATGAACATCAAGTTGTCTGACGATCAATATTAGTCCAGGTGGTTTATGTGCACGCAGCGGCAGAATACCTTTTAAGCTATGTGTCTAAAACATCCCGGATGGAGAAAGATTTATCATATCAAATCAAACAAAGCACATGTGAAAACATCAATGACGCAAGAAAAATTTTGCTCAGGGCGAGAAATGGCGTTTTTGGTCACCGTCAGGTCGATTTAACAATACAGGCATGTTGGATACCATTCTATACATATTATAATTAATTAATAATACTGCACAATCTATGTATACTTTGCTTTGCTTAACCGTACCATTCCGTAATGCAAAAATGGAATTTTTGCCTACTAGTGATATAGAAACATCTAATTTATATAAAATGTTGCATAAACATAAAACGATTATTTATTCAGCCATCAGACGGTTTCACATATATATTCTCAACAGCTGAATATGATGATCGAACATTTACTTGATCCTAATGTGCTAAAAGAAAGTATTGATAGTACAAAATCTCTGCTATTCACCACAGATGATCGCGAGGATGATCTAGATAATGAACAACGGATACTGAATGAACTGAAAACTAAGGAAAACAAACTTGTACCCAACTTTGAAAGAGAAAAGAAAGAAGAGGATCAAGATGCTCAAGATGATAACATTACAGAATTATTGAACGATGAGAAGAAGCAAATATTAGTAGAAAATTTTCAAATCTATGATAACAATAATAATGTCGGATCTACGATAATGGCGCCCGAATTTGACTAGATACGGTTTAAAAATGTATAGAATGAGGATCAATTACGTTTAATACATTTCATTCACGAATATCTATACAATTTGTTAAAACATTCAGCCTTTCCAACTAAATATTCCAAACTAAAACCCTTTCATATAGCTGTTATTAGACCAGGAGGTGCAGGAAGAAATCATTTGTCATTAATAAAATTCAACAAAGATTTAAATGTTTCGTAACAGTTGAATCAGCTATACGTAGTAAAGCACATCAGAAGTGTGATGTATTAAAAATAGCACTTACAGGTAGTTTCAGAAAAAGTAATCTAATATCTAGTAATAATAACCAAAACTCTTTTAATAACATAGGCAAGGCGATAATGAATATTAAGGGTTGTACGATACATTCGGCTCTAAAATTTCAACCAGATTCGAGTAGTTGCATTAATGAATTAAATGCATATAATCTGCATAATTTAAGAAAAAAAATGGATGATTTATTACTAGTAATCATCGAGTATGCGGCAAATATAATTTGTCATAAAATAGAAAACACAATTTATATGATTCTTATCATATTCTAGTGAAATATCCTTGGTGTCTCACAAATCCTTATCAAAAATTCATAAAAGATTGAATAAAATCTTCGACGTCCAAGACAGTATAAAATAAAACATC